GCCGCAACGGGAGCGGCGGCAGCAAGCCGCCGCGGGCTAGGCATTGGCCCCGACCCCCGCCCGGACCCGATGCCCTGCCCTTGTATCCACGCGTGGGGAAAACACGCTCTCTCGCTTCTAAACGTATGGGTGAAGTGCCCCGCTGCGCCTCAAGCCCGCGGCGGGGCAGGCCTCGCCCCATCGCATACCCTCCTTCCCCTCCTGTCCTTCTTGCGTGTCCTTAATCCATTCTTTCTTCTTCACCTGTGCAGCATTCGCTCCCATCATCTCGCCCTCACCTTACGCCACCTCTTCGCCGTGTAGGTCTCCTCTCTCCCTGTCCTCCCAGTACAATGAGAACTTCTCCACCTCCAGACTCCAAAGAAGTCCACTGAAGAACCTTTCCACTCTTCAACTCCCCATTCACTCTTCCCACTGCTGTTAACGACAGCTTCTTTAACCATCACAAAAGCACGACCAAAGCACACCAGCCGAACGGTTCCAGTAAGTCATTTATCAGCCACATCTCACCCACAACAAACGCAGTCAGGCGGAAGACAGCAGCTGCCCTTGAACTCCAAGCCATAAGGAAAGCTGTCTTGTCCTTTCACATTGGCACTATTCCAGGACCAGCTGGACCAGCTTCACCCACTTCTCAATTTAACCTTAAAAAAACCCCCAAACCCAAACACCCCCACAAAAACCAACCCCACCCCCCCGCCCCAATATCAGAAAAGCTTTTGGCTGCAGAGACTTTGGGTTAAGGGCTATTGAAGCTTGGAGGACATTACTCCTCCTCCAGCAGTACTACTTGCCCAGAGGCAACTACAGTTCGGGTTACTAACTCCAGCAGGTCTTAAAAGCAACAGATGAGCATTCAATATCTATTTGATAAAGTATTATCAGTGTGAAAAAACACACTCCGATTTTCAGCTGCTGGCCAACTTCAGTTTCTGACGTTTAAGAGATACACCTTGGATAAAGTATCAGGAGAGAGAGACACCAGGGAGAGGACAGCAAATTCCAGCAGCATTTTAGACCCCTCTGAGCAGAGGCTACCAGCCTTCTCAGGTGTGCAGTAAGAAGTTCACCTGTTTGGTTTTTCTGAGATACCCATCTGTATTAACAGGACCTCCTTTACCTGTGGCAACCGCACCAGCGGCTCATGAATGTTGTCCCCTTCCTCTCCAGAAGAGTCATTTACCACATTTGCATTCCAGCTTTACTGCTGTCCAGACCCCTTCTCCAAGCACGACACTCTGTGCTGGCCTTACATAAATTCACCTTGGATACATTATTTCTCTCTATTAACCACTCTCTCTTGTTATACAGAATGACAGACTGGGCAAGGTTGGAAGGGGCCCTGGGGGACCTCTTCCAGTCCAACCCCCTGCTCAGAGCAGGGTCAGTCAGCAGGTTGCTCAGGGATGTGTCCAGTTTTGAGTACCTCCAAGGACAGAAACACTACAACCACTCTGGGCAACCTGCTCCAGTGTCTGACCCGAGATCAATTTTTTTCCCCTCATGTTTAAATGGAATTTCCTGAATTTCAGTTTGTGCCCATAGCCTCTTGGCCTGCCCCTGGGTACCACTGAGAAGATCTTGGCTCCATCTTCACTCCCCCCCCCCGGTATTTATACACATGGATAAGATGCCCCAGTGCCTTCTCTTCTCCAGGCTGAACGATCCCCGCTCTCTCAGCCTCTCCACGTCATGTAGCTCACATGCTCCAAGCCCTTCAGCATCTTCATGGCTCTTCACTGGACTCACTCCAGTATGTCCATGTCCGTCTTGTACTGGGGAGCCCAGAGCTGGACCCAGCATTCCAGCTGTGGCCTCCCCAGTGCTGAGAAGAGGAGAAGGATCACACCCTCTACCTGCAGGTGATGCAGTGCTGTTCCTGATGCAGCTCTGGAGAGGCTGTCGGCGCTCCGTGCCGCAGGAGCAGGCTGGACTTACAAAGCTGTATGTGCCTCCGACCAGTATTACATACACAGTTTCTCATCCAGTCAAGAAATCATGCCATGTGCAATACAGATGACAGCGGAGTAGCCAGGAACACTGAAAGCCCAATTCTTTGAATACATACCTTATGAAATTGAGCTGAGGTTTTTCAATACAATAGTGAAAATAATGTAGTTAAACCTGTATTTCTACATTCAAATAAAGACTGTTTTCAGAAAAGCTGAAGGCATGGAAGGCTCATCTGAGAAGAACAATTAGTAAGAAAAAAACCCCACCAAACCCTTAAGTAGAAGGCATCTTCCCATATGTATCACAGTCAGTAGCACAGCTTAAAAGAGAAAGAACAGAAAATCCTTCCCAGAGGGATCCCTCTCAGTCCCACTTCCAGGGACTATGGCTCTTTATTACATGAAACTACGCCACTTGAATCAGGATAAAAACTAAAAGTAAGTTAACAGCTATTAAAGCTGTTAAGGATACACATCACATTATTCATTTAATACCAGTAATAGCCCATTTCATACCTCACCGCTTATCATTTCTGGTCTGTAAAATACAGAGCCCCATTACCTGGAAATTCCTATTTCTAGAATAGGGAAATTTCCAAATATACATTTCCCCCATGCCTCCAGAACAAAGAAATGACAGTAAAAGTCTTTAAAAGCAGAAACCTGCAGTTACAATACCTGCTAGACCTTCAAGCTTTTTATCTGTGCAAAAAGTTTATCTCCCGTATGAATACCAAAATGGACCGCAAGGAAGCAGACAACTAACATAGACAAGCTATGGATCACTTAGTCGCCCTTTCGTGACACAGGGTAAGATGAATTTATTCAACTTATTCCGAAAGAGACTTGTTTAGCAAGGCTGAAGACCCAAAATCTTCCACCACGTAAGGCCCAAAGCAACATTTGTAGTACTTGACTAGTAACACAGAAGCTTTATTTGGGAAAGACGACCCGTAACTTTTGCAGAACTGCTGGAACAGAGAAGGCAAATGCAAGCAAATACCTACTTACACACATGAGCAAGTTACAGCTTTGGGGAACACCTGAAGGGGTTCAAAGATGGCAAGAGGAAAAAGAATAAACTGCATAGCTCAAGCTTAAGTCTTGCCCCCAACAAGGCAGTTGGATGACGAAGAAAAACCAAACACAGCACTTCTCCAAGTCAGTGGACAAGGTAATAAAAAAGCTTACTCCTTCTCAATTTAAGAATGCACATACCCAAAATTACTGTCTGCTATTTGCAACTGGTACCCAACAAGAATAACTGGGCAATGCCTTATGACAGACCAGGTCCTCCACAAGTCAAATTTAAAGAGCGGGGCAAATCCCAAAGCACAGGAGGAGACGCAACACACACAACCTGCAGTTTATTTTGGGCAGGACAAATTAGAAATAGATTCTTTAGGTTCTTTCAGATCTCCACGGGATCACCCAAGGCCCTAATTTTACATAACAGTCTAAAGATTCAGAAAAGGCCACTGCATGAATATTCATCCGTATCAAGAGAAGTTAGGTATCCAATGGTATTGCAAGTAGGAACCTCGCTGCACCTTTAAGCAACTATGTATCTGCAGGATTTGGCCCCAGGTCCAATCCACTCAATCCTCCCGCACCTCAATTTGCACTACAGTAAGAGGAGAACAATACCTCACGGGGCTGTGCGGCTTACCTGCTCAATGCATGCAAAGCTCTTTAGCGTTCTCCTCCAATCCCCCCATAGATGTGCAAATCATTGTATTCTTACTGTTCCGGGATAATGACTTTAATTTGATGACTTACAGAAGGAGGCCTCTCAGCAGGGACATTTTCATCTGAAGGCTCCTTACCGGGTGCTGGTGGGGGTGAGAATTTTGACAGCGTAGCTCAGGGGACAGATGTTGAAGGAATCTCTTGCTTTGCTTCCTGCCCTATCACAACCAGATTGTGATACCTTCTCAAACAGAG